AAAAAAAAAAAAAAAATATATATATATATATATATATATTTGAATTTTTCCTTTATTTTTTCTTTCTCTTTTTTCAATTGTTTAAGAAGCTAAATTTCCATAAAACTCTAGAGTATTGCTTCCCTATAATACCATTTAACATATTCCTCTAGCTTGTATATATCCTGAATATTCAGGATTGTTTGGTTAGGATAAAACTACTTTATAGCTGGTGTACTCTCAGTAGGAAGTGTGTGATGTCTGTTTTTTTTGTTTTTGTGCTGCTAACATCCACTGAATGCTGTCAGTCCTTGTGTCAGTGTCTCTGCAGTCATTTTTGATGTTTGTGACTTGTTATCCAATAGATTATGGAAACCATGTTGCCTATTAATAATAGCTTGTTTGTGACTTTATACCTAAGAATTATTTTGGCTGTATATAATATTATTAGTTTATATTTTTTCCCTCCACTAGCTTAAATATGTTATTTTATTGTTTTTGGAATAAAGCATTGCTATAAAAAGTTGGATGCCAGTCCAACTTTTTTTTTCCTTATAAATGATTTTCTTTAAAAAAATTTTTTTTTAAATGTGATTTCATTAAAAATCAGTAGTTTTAGGTCAGATATTGTGGCTCATGCCTGTAATCCAATCACTTTGAGAGACCGAGGTAGGAGGATCACTTGAGGCCAGAAATTTGAGACCAGCCTGGGCAGCATTGCAAGATCTTATCTCTACAAAAAATAAAAAAACTAGTCAGACATGATGGCATGTGTCTGTAGTCCCAGCTACTTGGGATGTTGAAGCAGAAGGGTCACCGGAGCCCAGGAGGGTTGAGGCTTTAGTGAACTAGAAGTGCGTATCACTGCACCCCCCAGCCCAGGTAACAGAGTGAGACCCTGACTCAAAAAAAACAGTTTTACTAGAATGTATTTTGATGGTGTTCTTTGTTGATTTTTCCAAGTACACAGTGTGCATTTTCAATTTTGTAGTTTCAGATTTTTTTTCCATTTTAGCAAAATTTTCTTGAATTATAATTTTTAGTATTAGGTTTGTCTGATTGCTTTGGTTTACTTCTTTAAGGGCCCTTGTTATGCTAGCTCTCTTTTTCTATTCTACTTTGACACTATCTCAGATCTTTTTCTTATTTCAACTTTTAAAATTAATCTCATTATTTTTTAAGAGACAATGTTCCGGTGTGTTTTGCAATCTGGAGTGTAGTGGCTGTTCCAAGTACAATCATGGCAATATACAACCTCAAATTCTTGTAGCTGAGATTACAGATGTGCAACACTGTACCTGGTTAAATTTTTTTTTTTTTTTGAGTTGGAATCTCACTCTGTCGCCCAGGCTGGAGTGCAGTGGCGTGCTTACAACCACCACAGCCTTGACCTGCTGGGCTTAGGTGATCCCTCCACCTCAGCCTTCCAAATAGCTGGAACTACAGGTATGCACTACCATACCTGGCTAATTTTTTGATTTATTATAGAAACAAGATCTCACCAAGTTGCCCAGGCTGGTCTTGAACCCCTTGAATCCTCTCACCTCGGTCTCCCTAAGTGCTCGGATTATAGACTTCAGTCACTATGCCTGGCCAGATTTTTTTTTTTTTTTGAGTTGGAGTCTCACTCTGTCACTCAGACTGGAGTGCAGTGGCCACTCCCAGCCTGCTGGGCTCTGGCAATCCTTCCGCCTCAGCCTTCCAAGTAGCTGGAACTACAGGCGTGTGCTACCATGCCCAGCTAATATTTGATTTATTGTAGAGATGAGGTCTTACCAAGTTGCCCAGGCGGGTCTTGAACCTGCAGCCTCAGGCAGTCCACTCACCTCAGCCTCCCAAAGCGCTGGGATTATAGGCTGAGCCACCAAGCCCGGCCAGATTTTTAATTTTAGTTGTACAGATGGTGTTGCTATTTTGCCCAAAGTGGTCTCAATCTTCCAGGGTCTCACCCACTTTTGACTTCAAAGGATCCTCCTGAATTGTCCTTTCTAAAGGCTGAGATTATAGATGGGAGTCATGGTTCCAGGTCAATATTTCTCATTAAAAATATATGTGTGGCCGGGCTCAGTGGCTCAGCCTGTAATCCCAGCACTTTGGGAGACCAAGGTGAGTGGATTGCCTCAGCCCGTGGGTTCGAGACCCACCCGGGCAACTTGATGATACCTCATCTCTACAATAAATCAAAAATTAGCTGGGTGTGGTAAGTGCACACCTGTAGTTCTGGCTACTTAGAAGGCTGAGGTGTAAGGACCGCATGAGCTCAGCAGGTCGAGGCTGTGGTGGCCAGGAGTGTGCCACTACACTCTAGTCTGGGCAACAGAGTGAGACTCCAACTCAAAAAAAAAAAAAAATAGAGAGCCGGGCTCGGTGGCTCAGCCTGTAATCCCGCGACTTTGGGAGGCTGAGATGAGTGGATTGCCTGAGCCTGCGGGTTCGAGACTCGCCTGGGCAGTGAGACCTCATCTCTACAATAATTCAAAAAATCAGCCGGGCATGGTAGCGCATGCCTGTAATTCCGGCTACTTGGAAGGCTGAGGTGGAAGGATCGCCGGAGCCCAGCAGGTCGAGACTGTGATGGCCGGAATCGGCTACTGCACTCCAGTCTGGGTGACAGAGTGAGACTCCAACTCAAAAAAAATGTGTGTGTGTGTGTGTGTGTGTGTGTGTGTGTGTGTGTGTATGTATATATATATACATATATATTTTTAAAAATATATTTTATTTATGTATT